GTTCCTGCCTTCTCTCAGGCCTGTGCGAGACCTGCTTTGAGGCTGGAACTCCTGTTTCTTCACTCGAGGTGACCCCTACACAACGTTGGTTCTGATACATCACAACTTTGGCATTGAACCTGGCGCATGCAACTTTTTTATGAGTATGCACTGTTTATACACGAGGGCCCAGGTGGTTTCGTTAGACCCTGTTGTTCTCAGGTGGTCTTGTCTCTGTCAGCTGTTTCTTCTTCTCTGGTCTGATGGTGCGTCTGCTTCTTGTCAGTTTGTGCCGACAACAACCACGTGAGAACGTGGACGGTGACCCGCTTCAGAGGGATGATCTCCACCCAGCCAGGATCCACTCCGCTCACCTCCTTTAAGATCCTCAGTCTGGATGACGTCGACGGTCACGGAAACTGCAGCGCTGGGACGGAGATCGGTACGAACCTGAACCTTCAGCGTGGCTCTGGGGCAGATTTATTTTTCATATGATCAAATTATTATGTGATTGTGTAGTCCCACCTCTGTCCAGCTGGGGGCACACAGGCTTCATGTCAGGGTTCTGTCTCTTTCAGGTCCATATGGGGAGAGAGACGACCAGCAGGTTTTCATCCAGAGGGTTGTCCCAGACACAGACAAACTCTACGTCCGGCTGTCGTCCAACGGGAAGAGGTAAGGGACACTTTCCTCAGGAGCTGGTTGTTTCACCTGTTCAGGTGGTTTCACACGAAGTACTCCTGTAGAACCACCAACCACAACCTGTGGTACCATCAGAACCATCTGCTCCCTGCATGCTTTTCTTCTTCTCTGTTTCCATCATGGCCGCCCTCACAGATCCTTCATGTCATTTCTAATCAGACAGGAAGAGCTTTGAACTTGGAGTTTCGTAGTAAAACTCATAGATGCTTTTCAAAATAAGTGTGTGTGTGTGTGACAGGGTATGTGAGGTGCGCTCAGTGGACGGGACCTCCATCACGGCCTTCATGGTCCACGAGTGTGAGGGTTCCAGTCGGATCGGGTCGCGGCCCCGGCGGTACCTGTTCAGTGGTCACAGTAACGGCAGCATCCAGATGTGGGACCTGACAACCGCCATGGAGATTGCTGGAAAGGTGGACATCAAAGGTCAGAGCCATCAGAACCCTCCGACCGTTCCCTGCTTTGTGATGTGTCGATGAGTCACTGATGGTTGTGTTTTTGTTCTGACAGCGCTGGGCGGGCCAACAGAGGAGGAGCTTCTGGAGCTGCTGGACCAGTGCGACCTGGCGYTGACCCGAACACCTGACAGCACCCCGAGAGCGTCCACCTGCAGGTCTGAACAGGTCTCCTTAAMCAATCAGAAACCTCCACGTTGCTGTGGTTTAGTGATGTCACTTCCTGTCTTCACAGCCTTCACTCTCAACTCAGCGACGGGCTCCGGTCCGAGCGGCTCCACTCGGCAGGAGGGCGAGGAGCAGCCGGAGTTTTGGGTTCATCTGCTTCACTTTCCGGTAGCCTCCCCCGACAGACTCCACCCCCAGTGACGCTTACCAAACCCGCCAGAGACCCTCCCCTCTCTGTCGGGCTGCAGAGTTTCCCTGGCCCCGCCCACAGCCAAAATGCCAGCCCCCGTCCTCCAAGACATCTCCTGGACCGTGACAGAGAGGCGGGGTCTGTCCGCAGGGGGAGCTTCGTAGAGCGCTGTCAGGAGCTCGCCAAGGGTTCTGAGGTCGCAGGGGCGTTTGGGTTTGGTACCCCGCCCTGGTCAGACAGCATGAGGCGGAGCGTGGCGGTCTGTAGTGAGTTAGATGCTCGGTTCAGCCTCAGGACCCCCACCAGCTTCACAGTGTCTCCTGGAGCTCGCCACTCACCTGGAACACCCCCGTCTCTGTCTTCATCACCGTTACCTTCCTCTTCATCACACCGCAGGGTGCCGCCCACTTCCCCAACAAGCCCCACCTCCACTGTAACAAGCCCCTCCCACTCCCAGACACCTGTGTCCCCCCGCCGCAGCATCACAACGTCGCCTTCCGATGCTTCGGCATCACCTGAGAGCCCGGCCGGTGCAGACAGTGGTGGTGGTGCAACGCCATCCAGCCCCAAACCACACATGAACGAGACCAGCTTCTGATTGGCTGAGAGAGAACTGGCCTCTGATTGGCTGAGAGGGAACCAGACAGGCTTCAGAGTTCTGGTGAAGTGGATAACCATGGTTACTGCCTGTTTCCAAGTTGCCTGTGTCAATAAATCCAAAATCAATACATCCAGGATCATTAAATCCAGGATCATTAAATCCAGGATCAAAACATCCAGGATCATTAAATCCAGGATCATTAAATCCAGGATCATTAAATCCAAAATCAATACATCCAGGATCATTAAATCCAGGATCATTAAATCCAAAATCAATACATCCAGGATCATTAAATCCAGGATCATTAAATCCAGGATCATTAAATCCAGGATCATTAAATCCAAAATCAATACATCCAGGATCATTAAATCCAGGATCATTAAATCCAGGATCATTAAATCCAGGATCATTAAATCCAAAATCAATACATCCAGGATCATTAAATCCAAAATCAATACATCCAGGATCATTAAATCCAGGATCATTAAATCCAGGATCAATACATTCAGGATCATTAAAT